GAGCTAGTGCCCTGCTGTGCAGTGTTTCAGTGAGAGCCACACGTCTGAAGAGAAGTCAACAGCAATGTCTTCAATAAGTAGCATGCACTGCTTCCCTGACCGTACAGAGAAGAAAAACAACATCCCAACATATAAAATAAAATTAAAGGTAATAAATAAGTGTGTTAAATCACAAAGTTTTGTAAGTAGAAAGGGCCCACGCCTGTGCTGGCAAGGCGAGACTGTTTCAGCCTGGCAAGCTGAAGAAGCAAGATAGCCAATAGCTGTCGGCGTTCAGAAAAGCCTGTTTCCATGGTGTGTCCTCTGCCGTGTACTTGGATAGTGGATAAGTCTATAGTCCTTTGGGGCTGAAACATGCATGCTAATATCTACAAATCATCAAAAAAATAATGGAGACTCTCTTCTTATTTTTTTAAATTATTATCCGTTATGTAACTTCACCCTCAGCAAAACTGCAATAAACTTGCAATACAAAAAGACTCAAATTCAACTTACAAATTCAAACCCAGCCAAATTAGACTTGATGAACACATGTGTGCCTATGACTAACCGAGCACTATTAGGTACATTTACTCATCTTGTACTCTTTACAACCAAGTCTTGATACCCATGCATGTGAGCAAAGAAAGTAAGTCTCAGAGAGGGTGAGTCTGAGGGTAAGTCCACACGCTACCAGTGGGTTGCAGAGATGAAATCTGTGCTTGCGTTTCTTGACATCTTCTAAGTACCATTGTTTCTTATACCCTGTGGCTGATGAGTCTCAGATCAAACGCTGGGCCATTCACGCATTATTAAGTAACAGGCCTCTCTAACAGGGCTCAATTTAATTGTGGAGATAAGAAAGTCTGAAACAAAACCTCAAACTTGTAGTTGACAGGTGTATATGTGTATGCAAAATAGAGCAGAGGAACCTATTATCACACTTAATTTCCTTGGGAGAAATTATACATATATACTATATAGAGTATATTCAGCATACCATGTATAATATATATTCTTCCAAAACTAGAACAATAGCCCCTCCAGCTATTTAAAGCAGAAGTAGTGAAGGTGCCTGTTCCCATGCTCTGAGCATCTTAGTTAGAGGCTGGGAGTGTTTCTGAGACAAAACCCAGAAGACTTTGGAGGAAGAACAACATGACGAGTTGATACAATGCAGATGCTCAGGGAAACATCTTATTAAAGAGTCACTGGAAGGACTGAAAGTGTGGTCTCCACTAATGACACCTGCTTCTTCTGCTTGGGTTTGTGGGAGATCCTAGCATCTTATATAGAATAAATTGCTTGAAATGCATAGGTGCCTAGGGTGTAAGTGTTCTGTAACACAGTCCAAAATACTCTCTGCTAGCTGATCATCAGGGTACTAAAGGACAGCACTACAGGACACAGGGGCATCAGCCAGCTCTACAGGACACAGGCCTGCTCCTGTCAGTTGGAGAAAGTGGCAGTCTGGATAGCATAGGAAGGATACTATCTGGAGGGAGGGCCATGCGACAGGATTCATCTTGTGATTTCTTTATTGAGGATTCCCATTTTAAAATTGGGGGTAAAAGACTTAGTCATGGGGCAAAAATAAGACAAATACTTATGTAACTCTTCTTCGGGGCTGGAGAGATGACTCAGCAGTTAAGAGCCCTGACTTCTTGTCCAGAGGACCTGGGTTCAATACCCAGCACCCACATGGCAGTGCAAAAACTGTAATTCCAGTTCCAGGGGTTCCAATATCCTCACAGACATCCATGCAGGCAGAACATGAATGAACATAAAATAAAAGTCAGTAATTCTTCTTTATGATGCAAAGCCTGTGCATGATACAAGAATATGTAACTTGGGGCTGGAGAGATGGCTCAGTGGTTAAGAGTGCCGTCTGCTCTTCCAGAGGTCCTGAGTTCAATTCCCAGCAACCACATGGTGGCTCCAAACCATCTGTAATGAGATCTGGCGCCCTCCTCTGGCATTTGGGTATACATGGAGGCAGAAAGTTGTATACATAATAAATAAATATATCTTTAAAAAAAAAAAGAATATGTAACTTGGCCCAATAATTAGATGCTGCTATATACAAAGCGTGGATATCACTAACTAAGAAATGTTGTCCTTATAGATGGTTACCTCAGGTACCCGACAAGGACTCCAGTGACCTAGAGTTTTGAAGAGATGCCTGTGACTTTGAAATAAGTCTGCTTGAGAGTGAAAAATTAAATATAATAAAACTATAGTTAGTGTGTGCAATACACTAGTGGGACTGTTATTCTATAGAGAGCATTGACAACTAAACAGAGTCATTCAAGAGATGTCAAACTGTCTGGCAAGTTCCGCTTCTGCATGGCAGACAGTGGACATGCTGAGAACCTAGTCATCTCTAAAGCTTTCTGTTCTGATTATTAGTACTGTCACCTCATCTCTGACAGCACTGTCACCATCTTTGTCCTCACCAAAGCATTATGAAACTCCAGATGGCTGAAGTGATTTGGCTAAGGCCACACTGCCACCCAAGCTTTCTAGCTCTCACCCAGATCTCTAAAACCTAAGTGCTTATATATTTTTCCTGTATGGGTTTCTGATACTGCTATCATAGCAAGGATATTTTATCAGTGTGTATTTCCAAATCTATGTTTTCTGAATCTATGCTTTAAGCAGGGGAACTCCAATGCTTTTTGTGAGATGATTTGTTTCTTTGAGGGAAGGTCCTTGATAGTGGGTGGCTAGGGTTTGTGTTGAACGTCCAAGTGGGTCTTGAGCTTATTGAGAAAGGAGTGTTGGGCAGAGGGAGAATGGAGGCAGGCTGGTTTAAAGCATCTGCCCCAAGCATTGCTTCCAGAACTTGAGAAGGGAAGCGATAGTCATTTGGTGGTCGCAACATGCCCTTTATGCCCTCAAAAAGCAGACCCAGGACTTAGTAACCAGTCAAGTAATGGTTGCTTCTGAGGCTCGCGAATACCGTCTTCCACGTCCCACTCTATGTTCACATGTCTTTGTAAAAAGGTCACTGTCCTGGAGGATAGCAGACCATCACTGGGAAATTCCAGTGCATTCTGAAGGCCACTCCAGGTTTGTAAATAAAACGAGATAAAGAACTGTGACACAACTGACAAGCAAGACACGCAGGGAAGATCACGTGTTAATCTGGCTCTTACATCCATGGTTGAAATATGAGCCATCACAGAATCGCTTCTCAGACCATGAAAGGAGAGCACTGAAGTAAGATGAATTTGTAGACAATTTAGGGACTTCCCACTTGAGAAGCCACAAAAAGTCAACCTATACTCCACAGAAGGAGGCAGATCTTAGAAGCAGCCCAGATTAAACTTAAACAAACTTAAACAATATCACTTCACTTAATCTGCATATTCTCCACGTTTCCACCCAGCAGGATGATGTAATAAATCCATGCTATTGGCTACACAAATGAGAGGGAAAAGGCAAGGACCAGATGCAAGATGATGCCAGGAAGTAGTGTGATGACTGTAGACAATCCTTGAACTCCACTCACCTGGGTGAAGGCAGGCAGTCAACTGGGTACCATCTATAGGATAAAGGTAGCAGTACTTTCTAGAGAGTTGGGCTTCATAGAGTGGCAAAGAAGTGGCCAAGCTCTAAAAATGCTTTTCAGTAGAATAATCATTTTTTAGAAGATTCTCATAAATAGTAAATTGTTTGATAAATCTGCACACCTCTATGGTTGGCATCCTTTGGTTAAACTAGTTCAAACCAGTTCTGTAGGAGTCTTCCTTTATGTACTAAAGCCATTATTAATGTTAGCCTGTAGTACAAGATAAAACTGAAAAGTGGGATAAACATTCTTCTACTTCTCCCCCTAGGGCCTCACATACAGGCCCAGTCTTTTAGCAATGGGCTATACTCTCTGTTATCTACTTCCTTTAGACTGGGTCTCATGAAGCTGCTCAGCCTGGCCTCATACTCTCTGCGTAGCCCAGGAAAGGAGCCGAACTGCAAGTCTCCTGCTTGAGCTTCATGAGCAGTTGCAACTACAGGCCTGCATCACCATCCCTAGGTCTTTTTATTCCTTGATTTGGGGACATGTATGGAAGGCCAACCATTAGAAAACTTGTATTCACAACATATGGGAAGCTAGGTTCTTCAACATTTGAAATCAGGATTCCTTTACACTGACTCAGGGCCCTAAATAGTGGTTTTTGATGGGGGAATAGACATTGTAAACTAAGTAAGTATATACATACCAACAAATTATGACCCTTGATATAGAGTCTACATGAACAAGCACATTGGTCATAGGAAATGATGTTTATTGCTTTAAATGGTTGCATTGTTTTTGTTAATCACTTCCTTTTTAAGGTTGTTTTTAAACTGATTTTATTGAGCTATACATTTCTATGCTTCCCTGCCTTCCTCTCCCCTCCCCTTCAACCCTCTTCAATGGTCCCATGCTCCTAATTTACTCAGGAGATCTGGTCTTTTTCTGCTTCCCTTGTAGATAAGACCCATGCATTTCTCTCTTAAGATCCTCATTGTTGTTTAGGTTCTCTGGGACTGTGAGCTGTAGGCTGGCTTTCTTTGCTTTATGTCTAAAAGCCACTTATGACTGAGTACATATGACATTTGTCTTTTTGCGTCTGGGTTACCTCACTCAAAATGATGTTTTCTAGATCCATCCATTTGCCTACTAATCACTTCTTACACATCTCCATCTTTTGCAGAGAGGAGATTGGTGGACACACGGCACACTCTGGAAGCTGTCCATATTCTAGGACTATGCTATTTCTTGTCGCAACACTTTCCATTGTCCTGAAACTGCATACAGAGTACCCCTCAGGAGAAGTACTGGTTACAACTAGAACATTTGGTTGCCAGGCTAGGCCAGGTTTTTGCATTGACTATCACCCACACGCTCCATAAGTGTTAACTAAGCAAAGACAATTTTTCCCTCATTAGATGAGTAATATATAAACTTGGAAGAGAGAAAAAACTCCTGGGATCTGATGAAGACCGATCTGGGTGTGGAGGTGAGGTGCGCTTACCGTCCAGGTGGCCGACTTGGCGGTGCTTGACTGCTGGAAGGACACATCGAAGCTGTGTGGGCCTGGATAGTCTGTGTTGGAAGGGATGGCAGGGGATGGAGAGAGGGCATCAAAGGTGGAGCTGGGCTGTGCGTAGGGCGAGGGTGCCGTCACGCTGTTTTGTGCATGGTCTGTGTTGTAGGGGCTGGTAGATGACGAGCCATTCTGAATCTGCTGGTCCATGCTGTTCAGGAGCCCCAGGTTCGTGTACTGTGGCTGCAAGGACACCCACACACCCCGATGTTAGTCGTGTAAGCCACAGCTCATTGCTCAATAGAATAATAAAATAAATAAACAAAAAGCATCATTTGGTGTACTTTGTGAAAAAGTGGATATAAGATCCCAAACACTTCATAACAAGTAAAGCCAGCCATCCCTGGTAGAAGGAAATATCCAATACAGCTGGGTTAGTGTTGGAAGATGGAATTTATGCTTATCCAAAACAGGTACAAAGCGCCCAGGGCACAGTACTGTTTAAACATTATTTGAAATAAATGCTGTCTGCATTTATTGCTTTCTTAAAAAAAGCCACATACAATATTCACAAGGAAAAGCGACCAACTGATAGATTTTAGGAGTTGAGCATCAAATTATTGTAAATATAGGGCAAATTTTCTTTTTAGCATTAAATCTAAATTTATTTGCATTAAATCTAAATTTATTTGACAACCACGTCAGTTCTCAGTGAGATGTTTATGGAATTTGCCAAAATCTTCTTATTTACCTGCAAAACAACTTTCTCATTACCAGAGAGGGGAAGTGATTTACCCAAGCACTGCCCACCAGACCGAGTAGAAGTTCTGTAGCAGCCTTAAGTCAGCTGGCAGTGACAGCTTCCCTTAACCAGAGTTATACTCAGCCTGTCTCCTGCGGGGTCACTGGCTTGTGGGGCTTGTGGCACAGTATCTCTTGGGGGAGAACTAATGAAAAGGAAGAGAACCCCCTCCCAGTCCACTGGTGCATATTCTTAAAAAAAAAACAAGGAGGTTAGTATTTCAATAGGAATATAATCTCAAGAGACCCAGGCTATGGAATATGAGGAAGAACTAAAAAATATTTTAAAATATTAAAAAAGAAAAAAAGAAGGAAGAAAGAAGAAACGAGGACTTGAATTTTGTTTTCCATTTCAAACTTTAATAACATGATAACGTGATTTTATCCAACTTAATTCTGTCCCAGGAGGCACTAAATGGGCTCCGTCATTCCATTCAGTCCAAAGAGCATCTGCCTCAAGGCCCAGCCGCACACCCAAGCGATTACATTCATGGGCTCACATTCCACTACTGAATGCCGCCTCCCTTTCGCTCTGTAAAGAACCATTAATCTATTTACACTTAGCCCCACGCTGACAAGAGCAGCTGCTGTCTCCTCTTCTCTCCCTCTGACTTGGGCAGCTCCTACCCCTCCCTTCCTCGACCTCCCTTCCAGACAGGTGTGCTGTGGCTAAGCTACAGGTAGACACCTAGGGGAGAAAAATAAATAAATAAGACCCAAAGAGGTACAAAGGTGTCTATGCCTTGCTGAACTAAAGCTTTTAGGTACCAGGCCGGAGGCCACGGTTTGGGAAGGGAATTGAAGAAATCTTATTTGTGTTTAGTTAAGGGTCAGTATACAAAGCACTCTAGAAAGGCCTGTAGGGATCAGATAATGCTGGCAAGGACGCGTGCTTCCCTATAGCAGGACAATTAGGGAGGCAGTGGTCCCTGACCAGAAGGAAAGAGAAGCTAGCCGAACACTTTCTCGCAGGCAGTAAATGACCGCTGTCGCCCCCTCTCCCTGCCCCTCCGGCTACACAGCAGAAACAGCAGCTAATTGTGGGCTTGGAGGAGAACAAAGAACCGCCGGCCCTTTGAATTCCCACCCCCCCCTCCAAATACAGAGAAGGAAAAAAGTTGGGGGCCCCAAAGTTTTAAAAGCCAGTAAGCAAACACATCAATTCTCCGAGGACTTAAGCAAAAGTCAAATTCCTTTTACAGAGGCATCTCAAAGGCAAGCCCTGCCCTGGCTGCAAGGCTGAACACAGTTGACACCGAAGAAGAAACTTCCAAAGAAGAGTCTTCCACAACTCTCTGAGAGTCCGGTAGCTGCTGACAGATCTGCTTTGGATGCCCTGCTAAGTTCTACGCAGCTGAGTAAAATCCTAGACTAGAAATGACTAGAAACAGCATGATTTGTTCTGACGAATTCCTTAATATACACAATATAAACCAAAAGTTCTCAGTATTGAGTAGACTTTATAAATAGGAGATAAATAAATATAAAGTAGACTTTATAAATAGCAATAAAAAGGAGAAAATCACTTCAATTTAAATTCCTCCCAAATTATGCTTTAAAAAGAAATCAATCCAAGTACTGTACTCAATTGTCTCATGTTTTAAAGAAATTATAAATCCAGCACTTCTTATTGTGGGCTTAGATGAGAACAAAGAAACACATCTTTGACTATTTCTAATATCTATAAAGGGAAATGAATAAACATGGGACGCAGTAAAAACATATACGGGGAAGCCCTCCTTGGACACATTTATTACGTTGTTGGGAGTCAGTAAGTCGACAGCCACAGGAAATAGCTCTATAGAAGTTGAATTTGAAGTATCCAGTATTTAAACGAGTTCTCGCTTGCTTACTTCTAACCAATGCCCAATAGCTTTCTGGAGATGCTCCCTGTAGGCCTCAAATGGGAAGTTTTCACTTCACTGCCCTTAATCCTAATAGAGATCATCACTCATTGAAGCTGGTGGGAGAAGCATCATTCTCTAGCAAAGTGAAGCTGGTGGAGGAAACAGTACTACCCCCCTCTTTACTCTTGGCAATACTGTGACCACACAGAGGAGCAAGGACTTATGCTAGAATGCTAATTGGTTATTGATGATGACAAGGAGGCATATCAAACACTAGAATGTGACATTTGTCCATCAGACACGAACACTGCCCTGGGAAGAATCAAGACAAAGGGTCTTGATCTCGGGATATCAAGGTGAGCTGCAGGTTCACTCATACACAGAAAGAATGGATGCCCAAGTTATGCCCTGTCCTGTCACATCTGACAGAAAAGGCAGACTTCTTTTCAGAAAGCATGAACACAGAAACGGGCACAATTTGTCTGTGACTTACTACACTCCTTATAAAACAAGACAATTGATTTCCTCTGACTTTAGCCAGTTGGTTAATTTTCTGTAGAAGTTACTTGAAATAAAAGACTCCCTGACTGGACCCGAAATATCAGCCACACTTCTCCTGAAGCTTCTTCACATCCAACAGAGATCAGTTGATCTTCGCACTGAGAGGATGAAGCACAGAGGACCCACAAGGCTAGACTACACTCTTGGATGTCATAGAACACCCTTAGAATGTTGGGGAGCCCAGATATGGTTGTGACAAAAATAGGGGTTCCCCATAGATAAAAATCTGTTTGCTTTCCTCAGGAGCAAAGAACATGTACAATTGTCAGTTACCAAATATAAGGGAGAGCATTGCCTTTGCCCCCCCCCCTTCCGTGTAAGTTCTGCATGCTCCAGCTGACCACACCCATTCCTCTGCCACTGGACATCAGAATTAAGACAGCACCAGAGGAGACTAGATTTTCACTGTATGAGTTTTCAAAATGTCTTAAGAGCACAACCCTTGTACCCTCATTTTATTTTTTTCTTTCCTCAATTATGGTCTTGTGGCCACTTTAGATTTTGAACATGTTATGTACCTGGATTTTCTTTTTATGAGCTCAAAATATAATGTTTTGATAATGTTGCTACAAATAAAGTCCTTCTTAAATACCTGAATTTATAGCCATTTGAAGGTCAAAATTTATCATCTTCCTATACAAAATTAACACCAATAAAGTACCAAATCAAGTTATTTGGACACTGCCTTGCAAATGGGGCTTAAGTAAAACTTGTGTATATAAAAAAAATAATCTCTCCCCACAAATTCATCACTAAAAGGCAAATATACCAATCTCTCCTTCTTGAATATTGCTGTCTATGTTGGGTATGTTGAGATCATGTGGAAAAATAACTAGCATTTCATCTGGAAAAGTATTTTTGGCTCTTGACTGTCTGTTAGGTAAGGCCAGGGGATTAGACAGCCTCAGCACTTCTCATGTTTCTCCTCGGATTTTAGAAGTGTAACAGAGCTCTCAGGCTGGTGGCATGGGATTAAGACCTGGCACTACCAGCAATGTGCTCTTCCCCCGGGGTGAGGAAGGTGAGCAAAATTTGACCCCAGTTTCCTAGGGCTCAGAATCTACATAAAACCATGAAGACAATGGAAGGACAACACCAGTTCTCACATCCTTGTAGCCCCGCTGCGATGTGATTTTTAAAATAGTGTTATGATCCTACTTTCACAGCAGGTTCATCAAATCATCATTTTGTCTTTGTTAAGATTTGCCTGGTCAAACCTAAAAAAAAAACGATCTTTTTCAGTGGCACAGTCAGTTTCCTCAGTGGGTAGATAGAGTCTTTGGCCTCAGGCTTAATGGCTGGGTCTCTGAGAGCCTTCCATGGCTCCCTTGAGAAAAGAAAACAGTTTCTTCATGGCCTTGCTTTATAAAGTATCCATTCCCTTACATGTTAGCACACAGACAGCATTTTCATCCACGAATATTAGCAGGGTAGAGATTTTCAACAAGCGCTGCCCGAGGGAGAAATGCTTGTCATTTTTAAGTCTTCCACCACCTGTCCCCATTCAGAAAATGATGGTTTGTTTTATGCTAGAATTGAACATAATTAACTTCAAACATGCTGTTTGAGGTCAAGAAAATATTTATAGAAGAATGTTGAATTAGATCAACATCTTTTTACCTTAAATGTGTAGGTACTATGATCTTTTCTGAAAACAGTATTTTATTAAGCATAAGGTATTTTTCTTCTTTTGTTTGTTACATAGTCATAAAATGAGAGTTCCCGGGAACAAATGTACCCATTCATACAATGAACAAAATGCAAGAAGAAAGTATTAAAACAAAACCAAATCTAAGTATAGGCAGAATGCTTACTAGACTATTTTATCATAAAGTTTTGAGAGTCTTAGAAAACAAAGTTGCTATGACTTATGACAGATGTCTGTAAGAAATCCATGAACAGTTGAGACAAACAGATTAAAGTTTGCTGATCAAGGGGACAAGGATGTCAACCAATGCTACACAGAGTTTTGGAAGGCAGAATATGTTGACGATAAAACATAGCTAAAGAGAAGTGTAAAAAGTTCAGTTAAGG